CCCTGGATCAGATATAAGATCATCCCCATTAAATTGAGATCGGGACTTCTTGTGTTATTAAATAACTCTTGTGCTCGACTAGAATCAGTGGTGGGACTAGATGTACAACTAGACAAAGAATGGACTTTTGTTTCGGTTGAAAAAATCAATCCATAATCTACAAAATTCCCCAATTTATTTTTCAATTAAAATTGATTAAAAACAGTCTACACGTGGTTTAATTGGAGTTGATTCAGAATAATAGGCTAATCGAATTACATGTAATTGATAAAAGTATTAAAAAAGCAATTCGAGTGAAATAAAGTAAGTGCAAACGTATCTTTTTCCTATTCCTATTCCTACTCCTATTCTCATTCCTAGTCTTCCCAGTTCCCATCCTAAATATATAAGGTCAAACAGGTCTTTTCATTATTTACTTTTCCTTTATTCTTGGTTAGCTTGAGGTCTTAATTGTTCTTAATTAATAATAATCAAAATCCTGGTTATTACATTTTACCAGCATATTACAATGACTTTAACAGTTTAACTACTTCATATCACAATTCACATCAATTATATGCCAATAAACTTGGTGGGCAAAAATCAAATGTCCTATTAACAGGTTCACAAGATTCACAACACAAGGAAAGGAAAAAAAAAAAGAAAAGAAAAGGATAAACTCACAGTCTGCTGGGAGTCTGGGACCGAGACCGACGCCGTCACCACGCGAGTCACGCCGGACGGTCGGAGACAGCAACCGAGCAACGCACAGGCACATCACGCAACAGCAGTTGAAAGTAATCGCCGGTCGCCCTCCTCAGCTCCTCTACGGTTTGTTGGGTTTCAATTAGAATTGGAGATTTGTTTGAAAGGCTCAATTTGGTTTTGTTTGTGGCTATGGATTGTAAATTGTTCTAATTAATTGGGCCTTATTGTATGAAAACAAGGTCCAAATGCACCTACTGTCTACTAAATTGAAACACAATGACAAAGGAAAAAAAATTCTCAACCGACGCCGGTTGCCTTCTTCACTGCTTCTTGATAGCACTTTAAGCTCTCGGCAGACCCAGTACGGGCGGCGCGGGGGTGGCCAGGTTTTGGGTCCACCCGTGTCAATGCTATCTCACTAAGATCATTAAACACTTTAATAAAATCGTTAAATTTAGTAACAGATGGATAAAAAAATTTGACTAAACTGAATTTGACATTTTTATTATCAAACAGACTATAAAATTTCTTTCTGTCATTTTTTTGTTTCTTCTCTTTTCTTTTTCTCCCTGTCTTTGTTTTAAATCAAAATAAGAGTATAGTGATTATTTTACTCAAAAACTTGTCATTTTAACAGTGAAATTGAAGTTTGTCGTCATTAAAAAAAGGGATAATTGTAGCAGCAGTACCAAACATTTTATTTAGTAGCAGACTTTGCCCAAACCTTTCAATTGTGCCACTAACGGTACCAAACCTTTCATTTTTGCCACCAGCGGTACCAAACATTTCAAAATGTCTGCAGGTGAAGTCCAAATGGATGATTTTTGTTAGTTTGATCGTTAGTTGACCAAATAATTGA